TGAGATTCAATGACTTGTTAAAGATCATGCTGTAGGTGAACATAAGCATCCAGGTCTCCTTACTTCCTACAAAGCCAGGCGCCTAACTTCGGAGAGAATACAAGAGAGTATTTTCAAGTGACACAGGAAAGGCATACCTTTTTAATTTCCATGAAATAATCAATCTTTCATTTTGCCTCGACACTGTTTAGAGAACATTCAGATATCTTCAAGACTTATCGTTTTTAAAATCTTAGCCAAAAGAAAAGGAGTTCCCAAGGCAGGTTAAGGGTATTGAATCATGATTTATATAAATCAATTATTTCTCTCCCTGTATCAGATTAAGTTCAATACATTTAACAGAAAACCTAAAATTTCATTGCTTTAGCACACCAAGGCCCAGAGCAGGTTGGGGTCATCAGGGATCCAGGGTCCTTCCAACTTTATGCTCATGATTCTCAACAATTGGCTCCTGGCTTCTAATCCAAGTATCCCAGGTGGCTGCTCGAGTACCAGGCATCACATCCTTGTTGTGGATATCAAGAAATACAATTGGGGGAAGCAAACAAAAAAAAAGACCCCCAAAAATCTGTCGGCTGAATTAGCTCCTTTAAGACACTTTCTCAGAAACTATACACAGCATTGCACTTGCTTCTCACTGACCAGAATTTTGGACATGTTGCACTTAGTTCAAGGGGTGGGGAAATAATGGAAAATAATTCTGCATGAGTAAAATCATAGCTCTGACTCTAAGAAAGAACTAGGTTAGGGGATAGTTGGTAGATAACCCGTGGTCTCTGCCACCGTCCCACAAAATACCAAAGAACACGTGTTTGTCAGTGACAAGTGTCCTCTTCATGTTTAACTTCAATATTAAAACATCAATATCAAATTAATATGTAATATTAATAATCAATACTTTTCATAGTAATTATTTATGTGTTTGTATATTATATTACAATCAAAGCAACTCAAACTTTTTCTTAATTTTCTTCCCAGTCTGAAACAAAAATAATCATGATAGACTATGATTACTTACTATGACAAATTTGGTTCTGACAGGTTCTTAGCCACACCTATGATACTCAATGTCAGCTACACCCAGAAAAATTAAAAGCTAAAAACATACATGGTGACAAACTGGCTCATTATGAAAAGAATACACCACGACACCTATTCGCCAAAATGGCCTCAGGATGCTGTGTGTTGCTTACACTATCAGGGCTTTTATTCAGACAGATTGGTTTGTAAACATAATTTGGTAAATTTGGGGGATAGGCCTGACCAAAAACAATTAATGTCAACATGTAATTTTTTTTCTTAATTATGGATTAGCAGAATAAATTTACTAAGTGACAATGAACATGCCTTTTACTTAAATTTGGTTGCCTTCTGTGTCATTGTATACCCTCCAATGTATGGCATGCTTAGGTACAAAGTTCAGAGTCAATATCCGGCTACATAAGAAAACAGAGTGGGGATTCTGCTTTGTGGGTGTGAGAGGCAAGATGGTCTTAAATTTGGGTCACAAGGGACAAATTTCCTTAGGACACAATGGCCATAGACCTGCGGCCTGAGGCCACCTGTTTCTAACTCTAATTGGCTAATTGTGTTGTTTACCTGTTAGTCTTTGCAGGTTCCTCTCAGGGAATCCTCTCTGTTCCATGTGCAGTCTTGTCCAAATGCAGGTTCTGATTCTCTAGGTCTGAGGTAGGGCCTGAACTCCCTTTCCTCACAAGCTCTCAGGTGCTGTTGACAACACTGAGTGGCCAAGAGCTGGTGGTACAGAGGTGAAAGTGATAGGACCTCACGAACAGTTTCCTGTTTCGTGGATCTGGGGGTGGAACCCAAGAATTAGCATGTCTAACAAGTTCCCAGGTGATGCTGTGGCTACTGATCCAGGAATCACACTTCAAGAACTTCAGTGTGGATCTCAAATAGCTAAGAAATATCTCAAATAGGTAAGTGATCCCTCTTATAGAAGGCCTACTATGGACAAAACATCTTTGTGAATTTGGGTTTTAAGTTTTATGTAAATGAACTATGTAAATGTCATCCACCCTTAATTCCAAAATTTTCTACATATTTTATAGCAGAGGCAAAGCCACAGCAAGGAAATGCTTTCATTCCACTTTGCGTTAGAGAGTTCCTTTTCTTTTTTCTTGAACTATAGCTGGCAGAAAATAATTCTGCATGAATTCTTAGTGTGAAATCAAGGTAAAACCTTGAGTATCTTAAAGGAAACCTTGAAGTTCTTTTGGAAACTAATAATGCCATGTTATTGTATTTAAAGGTCCCTAAACATGGGCAAATAAAAACAGACTGCAAATAGGTAACTGTTGAACAATAACGACTAGATTTTAACAAGTTTAAAATCCTGTACATTCTCAGGCCAAATACAGAGGAAAGCCATATGTCTTCATTTTTTTCCTCTAAAGTTACGAAATAAACAACATTAAACTCTACGGATTGGTTTTGTTTAGGATATTTTATTCCTATCAGTCAAAAAACTTACTGTAAAAAGTAGAGATTTTTAAATAATTTGATCTATATTTACAAATTGTATATTATAAATTACTTTACACGTTTGTTTTTATGTTTCTTATATACTGTACTTAGTCTATGTATTTGAAAATGTTATTATTTTATTGTTGGTAAGAATTTGAGGTCAAGGTGTTTTTTCAATGCAACACTATGCTTTCAAAGCGTTTTTAAAAAAATTATGTTTGCTCAATTTTATTGGGCCCTCCATAATATAGAAGAGTCTATCCATTCTTAGTAATGCTTTCTCCTGCTGTAGTTTCATTTTCTTTCCCCTACATAATTAGAAAGGCAAATGTAATGTCTGGCCAAATGCAAAGTTCCTTTAGATTGATTAGAAAAGCACATAAAAGAGACCAGAGACATGAAGTGATATACATTGTTTGCTTGATTGCCTAACCTAATGATTTTTAACTAGTACAGGACATTTACAACTAACACACCATAAAAAGGGAGTTAGCTTTTCCTTTCTATGATAATAAAAATCCTCAACTCTAAAATATCTATTGTGTACATTTTCCAAATAACATAGCACATTCCATTTTTAAAAAGTAGATATATGCCTAGATATCAAGTGTTATAAAATATTTTAATAAACTCAGGAGGAATTAAGTCAGTATTTAACGAAGCTCATGTATAATGATTATATTAATCTTTATCTATTTTTATGTTTCCATGGACTTTTTTACATGAATCAAGAAAAAGAAAATTTAATTTTACCTAATTATAGATTTATTTACAGAAAAATAATTGATAATGATTCAATTACTGACAATTAATTTATATGAAATAATCCATAAAATACAATGCTTTATTAATAAACTAAATTTGTAAACAGTCCAGTGGAGTTTCAAAATGTTCATCAATCATATAATTAACATTTCCTTTTGAGTGTAAACAGAAAATGACTATGAATTTCCTACATAAATCAAAAACCAGTCACAGTTTCTCTGTGAGATAAATTTCATTGATATTTGAAAACACTTTAAGTAGCCAAAGCTTCTTAGTACAAATTCATTTCCCTCACTTTCTAATAATCCTGGCAAAACTGTCAGTGTCTATTCTTGCTGGCCAAGCAATCTTTCTTTGGCCTTTAACTGTACTTTATGTTCAGATATAAGTTTTCTCTTCCATATTGAAGCAAAGTTAAGAAATAAGAAGACATAAACAAACACATGTAAGTTAGTGTTTGGTTAGCAAATTTTAACCGTTCAGAAAACATTCTGCACCTACATTAAAGAGTATTACTTATCGTGGTATTTGATATATGTCCAAAATGTTAATATTACATTTTAGAATTTCAAAACTGGTAACATTGTCAGAGTAACATGTATGTCAGACTACAGAAATTGTATTTCCCTCCAAAATTATTTTCCTCACAATGACTATAAAATCATAGAATGTGGACAGCTTATAAAATAAAATCTTACTTATTAAAACTACTTTTTTATTCTGCTCTAATATCCAATTTCATGCCAAGAAACACCTTTAATTAGGAACTGCTGAGAGTAAGGAGTCTAATCACAAAAATTTTAAAAAAGTAACCACTTAATTTTTTAATAGTTAACTAGTTCATAGTTTTATGAAAAACCAGTTTTTATTGACTAAGAAATTTCTGTGTGATGTATGCTGTTATTGTTTATAAATATATTGTATAGTTTGGCACAGAAAACTCTTAAAATATTACTTAAATATATGGTTCCTTTCTAAATTAATAAGATGTAGTATCCTATTAAAATATTAGGCATCTAAAATAATTTATTAGCTTAGATGTTCATTCATCTATCGTTCAACACGTGTTTGGTAGGTGTTGCTCTAACAGGTTTCAGTTTTTAGCATACACACACCAGACTCGCTTTATTTCTGATTTTTCACTTTCTTATGGCCATTGCCCATGTAGGCGGAGTATTGCCAGTATGAGTGAGTGGCCACTCCGTCTACAGCATGTGCAGAGGTCTAAGCACTGCAGTCCGAGCTGCAAGCCTAATGCCTGCAGGGCTTGTCCCACAAGTGCCGGCAGAGGGTGGGCCTGTGGCAGAGGAGGGAGTGCGTGTTCTTGCCAAGGTATTTATGTTTTTAAAAAGTAACTATACATCCTGACGAGCAAGCAAAACAGATTTGTGGGTCTAAGTCAACCCCTGGACATCAAGGTTGCAAGTCTTTCATGGAAATCCTCTCGTGTGATCCCTATCAACTCTCTGTGGTTCGAATTGCTGTAAACTTGTCCTGCTCCAAGTCCTTCCCTAATCCCAGAAGCTGTGGGAGCCTGACAGGCATTCACAGGGGCAGAGATCCAAGGACAGGCTCCCAGGGCCCTGAAACTACACGGCGCCAGGAGCGACTGTCCCCAAGGGAAGACTGACCGAAGGACACCCACAAACCCTCCACCACCAGCCACTGGGGCAAGGAGCCATGCTCTGGCACCAAAGACAAAATCCCTAAAAGCATGAGTCTCCCCGAGGTTTGGAAGAAAGTGTTTGTCATCTAAAACAAAAATTCATTTTTATTAGACTCCGCAATACCCAGCTCTCTCTCTTCCACAGGATACAAGTAACAAAAGATGCTGAAAGGGGCGATATGTACAGGCTCGCAGAAGAAAATGGACCCATGAAACTTATTTCTAGAGAACACGAAGCTATGTCAGACTCGGGAATGGAGGGAGCTTGACATGTGTAGTGACTTATCCACACCACTCGGAGTTTGTCTCCGATCCATTAGCAGACGCGGGGTCACGTTTAGGTTCAGTGAACGCCTCCATCTGCAGCCGCAGGTGGCACTCTCTGAACAGGCCCCTCACTTCCTTATACACGTCTTGGCCAGCGTCCTAAATTTGGGTTCCAGATGATCGAGAAACTCCAGCCCTTCCTCCTCCTGCCGGTCACTGCAGCAGCCCACAGAGCCGGCCATCGACCCCTTGCCCTCATAGTTGTAGGAACGGACGTAGTCCTCGGAATGTTTGTGCTCCTCGTCTTGTCCACACAGATACACTTTCTGTAGCAAAAAGAGCACATTTTATTATTTTTTAAAAACACCTAAACATTTTAGCATAAAAAGAATGTCTTTGATTTACCTTTGACTGTTTAATTTTTAATCAGAGTGTGTCCTCTAATGGATTCCTACATATAAAAAATGCACATGATTGGTCTGTATTATAGTCATTCTTAAAATATAGCAAATATATCAATGCTGCCAGTGAAAACATTTAGGACGAACTAAAGCTGCACATAAATCACACAACCGACTGACTAGTTCCCATCTGAACTTCAGATTTGTGTCGTTGAAATGGGCCTCTGTAACTTCACATATTTGGGGAAACCAATGTCGGCTACGATTCTTATTGTTGATACACTATTAAATAGCTATCATAATGTATTCTATTAAACTGGCTAATATTAACCTATGTTGATTAACCTGGACATAAGACAAGAAACTGAAAACCCCAGATAAAACTTTAAGAGTTTATCTGTATGGTGTTGACAGCCAGGATTTTATAACCACGCGAAGGAGTCAACACACGAAGAAATGTTTATCATTTAGGATGTGGGCATTACTCTCTAACAAGTGTTTCACTTGGGGGACTTTCCTTGTAACTTTTAGGGAAGAAGCTATCAGTCTTTGTATACTTCCTAAACGTGTCTACATCTGCCGCTCCTAGGTAAAGTTCTGTAAACCTCATTTTAAAAAGCGAACTTCACAAAATCATTTTTCCCTTAGGGATTGGATTTGACATCCATGTCTCTAATAATTCAACATCTAAAAGATGAGGAATTCAGGGTGTAGGACGAGTAACACTTTGGGGACATCCTGATTGGCAAACAGTGTTAACTTCCATGTAATATGAACCAAAGACACAGGCACTCACTTCGCCAAGCCGGGGCTGGGTAAAGCTGTGCCAGTCGGTGTACGTGTATCTGCCAGCCTCCATCACGCCCTGCCCTGCCCCCTTGACAGAGTCCAAGGTCTGGTGTCCGCCTCCGCCTTTGACCATCTCAAAGCTCTGCTGTGTTTTGACGCCCTGGCCCCCGAGAGTGCCCACAGACATGCTTGTGTCGCAGACGTTGGAGGTCTGTGTGGGGAGCCTAATGTTTGCCTCCTAAAAACAGAGTGAGAGTTAGAACATGAGTGACTCGAATGGAAGCTAACAGCTTGCTTTCATGTCTTTCCCGCCACAGTCAAACCACTTCCTTGCTGAGCCTCTCAGTTCCCCAAACACCAAGCCAAGACAATCACGGTCCCCCTAGCGTAGGGGTTAGGGTTGAGCAGTGGCCCCCCAAAATGTTTATGTTGAAGCCCTAACTCTTTGTGCCTCAGAACAGAATTCTAGCTGAAGGTAGGGCTACTCAGTTGTTATTAGTTAGAGCAGTGGTTCTCAACCTTCTGGCCCTTTAAATACAGTTCCTCATGCTGTGACCCAACCATAAAATTATTTTCGTGGCTACTTCATAACTGTAATGTTGCTACTGTTATGAATTGTAATGTAAATATCTGATATGCAGGATGGTCTTAGGCGACCCCTGTGAAAGGGTCGTTCGGCCGCCAAAGGGGTCGCGGCCCACAGGTTGAGAACCGCTGAGTTAAAGGAAGATGAGGCCATCCTCCATGAGGGCAGGGCCCTCCTCCAAAAGGTGAAACCGGGACATGGGCACGCCCACAAGGAGAATGGCCTTGGGAGGTCGGAGTGATGCTGCAGGAGCCCGAGACAGGGATTCCCAGCTCCTTCAGAGGGAGCATGTCCCTGCCAGCACCCTGGTCTCCAATTGCTCCTCAGAACTGTGAGACCATAAATTCCTAATGTGTAAGTCACTCAGGTGTGGTACTGGTTACGGCAGCCCCAGGGAATGAAGGCAGTAGAACTATGGAGTTTAAATGACTTAATACATGCAGGGCACGTGGAGCTCTGCTTAGCATAGTAAGTGCTCAATAAGCAATAGTTGTCTTATTATTGCTATTATTATGTAATCAACTGTCATCATTGCATCACCATACAAGTAAAAAAAAACCTGAAATATGATTTACCATTACTTCTTCTCCAGGCCCTTCAGTATTTGATACAATTAAGTTTTGCTGGGCTACATCATCTGGAATACATTTCTTTACTGTTCTCTTAGTAACAACACAGAAACATGTAAACAGAGCACCTAAAAAATAAAAATATTTAGGTAAATAATACTATTTTTCAGGGTGACATATTAAATCATTTGAATCATACAATTGTTCAAAATTCTCTTTCCAGAATTTAAGAAAAAAACACTACCAGGGTTTTTATTTCATAAACTGAGATACCCCTGGGTCATAAAATTAAAACAGAATATTAACAAATGCAGGTAGGTTGTGTGTAGTTAAATAGACTGTTAATAAAAAAGGAAAGGAGGGAGGCAGGAGGTGGAAGAGAGGGCGGGAAGTGTGGGCAGGGATTGCCATTGCGTTTGCATCTCTAAAAAACAGTTGGCAGAATGCAAAATCTGGGCATCCTTTGCATGTATTACCCTTCCTCAGTGGCTCACCATATGGCCATTTCCACTCATTCCACTCACTGGCGTCTTCTGCAAATGTATGCTATATCGCTTCACTAATAACACTGATAATTCGCTACTCTTTTCACGAATTTTTTTGTGCACTCACTACCACGTAAACTTGGTTGGCTAAAAGACCAATATTTTGTATGAGAAGGAATCTTAACATTAATTGTATCCAACCTCTCATTTTACTTCTGGGAAGAAGAGCTCAAAGAAGAGGAAATGGTTTACCCGGTGTCTCACAGATAGTATCAGAAGAACTAGGGCTATACCTCTGAAAAGTATTCTCATCTGCTTTTATTGACACATTTTTTTCTTCCATGACTCAGGACGCTAAGTTATCGAGTACAGGCAAGATTATACAAAGGGTACATTTAGCAAAGACTATACATGTCATCGATATAAAGAATTGCATGGGTTTTTTAAATAGTAGAAAAAATTCAGCTAACACATTCTAGGTGAGTGTACTCACATAACAACAGTGCGGAACCCAACACCATGGCAAGAATCGCCCATTTCCCGAGGATGACATTCGGGAGCTTGACATCTCTGTCCCGTACTTGACTGCTCATTCTACAGTCGGACGGCGTTGTACAGTCACATACTCTGACTGACAATACGTGCTTGGCAGCAAGACCATGTCTATCTTTTATGGTGATGGGCACATTATAGTAGTTATAATCCATATGTTGTTTTGCACGAAGAATGGCAGTTTTACCTTCGGGGGAAGAAGACAGAGAATATCTGTTAATATGACCACAATAGTCTCCTGACTGGGAATTCTTACGGTGGGGAAGAGGACTAGGGGGCACAGAATTTAGCTTAGGAGAAAAATTCTAGTGATCCCTTTTTCTTTCTTAAAAATGATTTGAATTCTTGAAAAAAAGGAAAACTGATGTTATTTATGCTTATATTAGACTAATCTATACTTAACATGTTATCCAACTATTATATTAAGATAAATGTATGTTTTCTTAAAATATATCCAAAACAAGAGCCTAAACTTTATATATCACTTATTGCTTTAAAGAAAGCAAGGTATTATTCTTTGGGGGATCAATAAAAAATTTCCTAAAATGAATATTTATTTATTATCATGATGTTAGGTAAAAGTTAAGACCATCTGCCATCTTAAGTTTCTGTTAATGACAAGATTTAGCATCATTACACACCATCCTTTGATCCCAAGGTCCAATGTTTGCTGGCAGAATTATCCAGAAGGAACTGAAAAGGTGGGCCATTCTCAGGCCCGTCCGCATCCATCGGGGAGAGAACAGCAAAGTCCTGAGCGTGCTGGCAAATGGTCACGTCCTTGTCCACCTGTGGTGGGTGGTCATTGTTATCTTCCAGAAGAACCACTAACGTTCCAGTGCAAGATCTGCCACCTGAGGAGATTCAAAACAAGGCATGCCTCCACTTAAAAACGGTTTCCCGCCATCTCTGGGACACACACGTGGCTGCTTTCTGCTAACTGTCTCAACTTGGGGAATGGCAGCCACGTTCCCCTCTCATTTCTCACTGGCTTGTCACCGACTCACAAACTGCGAGCATCGTTCATCCTCAGAGCTCAGTCACATTCCCCGTGACAGCCCGGTGAAATGCCTCGTGTGTCTTGGCTAACGTGTAACTTACTACGAACACACTGAACAGAATGCACTTAAAATGTTTATACTTCTTCTTGAGCACACCCAGGTTATCCATGAGGCTGGGACATAGATTTCTACATCTTAGATTTGGCATGTCATTTTTTGTGTTAGCACTTATAGACAAAATTACTATCTTATATCTCTGTTCTCCATGTTTTCCAACTCTCCAAAGAGTACCTCATTCACCAGGCTTCTGTATTTGTGTGAAATCTACCTTTATCTTTTAATCTGGGCAGCTCTTAACTGATTTACACTTCTTATGATATTCATACTTTCTTTTATACCATGGAACCTGCTATGAGAATATAATCATCTTTTAATTGATATCATGTGAATTTTTTAAAAAAACTTCACCCAAGGACATGCTTAGAGAGAGGAAGGGGTGGGGAGGGAGAGAGAGAAACATTGATGTGAGGAGAAGAGAAAGACACATCCACCAGGTGCCTTCTGTATGTGCCCCACCCCAGGGATCAAACCCAAAACCTAGCTATGTGCCCTGACGGGGAATCACAGAGTCACCCATGCACTCAACATGCTGAGCCACTCCAGCCGGGCAATATCATGTGAGAGTTTGACCTTGACTTATGAATTCTAGTTTCCATCATAACTTGTCTAGACAATCAACGTTTGTGGAATGAATTAGTAGATATAAATTCTTGTTTGACAGCATAGTTGTGGCTTTGAACCAGTCAGATTTCACTTTGACTTATACAGGAGCAGCAGTTCACCCAAGATTAGGGAATAATGGCAACATTAATTCTGTCTCTCAATTAGTGGTTTCCCCATTCTTTGGTAGTTGTTTGTTTGTTTGTTTGTTTGTTCTGTTTTCCTATGTTGAAAGAACTACATTAAAGGCAGGTGAGCCAGTCTCAGCCTCTGCCTGACCAATGTTACGGCTGACCAGCCACCATGGTTCTCATTATGAGTGCAAAATGCCCTCAGGAAACTCGGAAAAAGAAACAAGTGTTTTACTAGTTTTTACAAAACAAGAAATTACATGGCTCACAGGGTGCAGTGGGGTGGGGTGGGTGGGGTTAGGTGGAGGGAAGGGAAGCCTGAGATCAGGCTGAGGGGAATCCTAGGGGCTCACAGCTCATTCTTTATCAGTAAATTTAAAACATAAACACAGGAATGTAAAGAGCGAGGAGTGGGGAGAGCATGTTTATTCAAGACAGACAGCCATCTTTGAAGCAAACCTCGAGTCCGGCACTGCATTACGAAAAGAAAAGCCAATGGCCAGTAAAGACACAAACCACACAACACTGTTCCATGTTCAGAATGGCTTCCATCTGCAGGATACGCTCACAGGATTTGAGAGGCTACTTTCTGACATTTGAAAAACATTTCTTCACAAGACAGGCTCTAGAACTAACCTTGGCAAAGGATTGCAAGCTACAGCAAAAGACTTGTTCGAGAGTCATTGCTTGATCATTTCTTTAGGAAATAGGACAAAAGTTTTATTCCTCATGAAAAAAACAAACCTGCCCTGAACCCAACTGTTTTAGGTGGTTTGAACCTTTTCAGCCTGATCGAGACATAGTAATCTAGCCTGGACGTGGTGGCTCACTGGTTGAGAGTCAACCTAGGAACCAGGAGGCCACGGTTCGATTCCCGGTCAGGGCCCAGGCCCAGGTTGTGGGCTCCATCCCTGATTGTGCAGGAGGCAGCCCATCAATGATTCTCTCCCATCATTGATGTTTCTATCTCTCCCTCTCCCTTCCTCTCTGAAATCAATAAAAACATATATATGTTTAAAAAGACATAGTAATCCCAATCTATATTCCTGGAAAAAAAGTGGCAGTCCTGAGGAAGCCCCATGTCCAAGGCAGAGGTCAGTAATATGGAACTTGAACTTTGGACTCCCACCTCCGGCTTTGCGTTATCACTGGACTGGGGCCTAAATTGGGTGGTCTCCAAAAAGCAATGCAATCATAATGCAAACATTTTTTGCAATAAATTTTGATCTGGAAATAAGCAAGTTTCCCCCCACGATTTTCTTTAAACCATATCCTATGTTTATATTTTATTTCTAGAAAATTGCACCTACCTGCATCGGTTGCAACCACGGAAACATTGTATTGGTCGTTTTTTACAAATTTTGATTCTCTATCTAGCACTTTTACAGTTTTCAAGTCACCAGTGTTTTCGTTAATTTCAAACCAGTTATCTTCATCTCCTAACTTCTTATACCTAATTTTAAGAAATCAAATGTAAATGCTCAAACCAAAAACGGACATCATCTCAAAACCTGTCATTTTGAAAAATATATAGAAGTTTCCTAAATTTGAAATCAACTGACATCACAATTAAAAATAAGGAGCTTTTTGAAAATGCATTACCTTAAGCCTTCGCTGCTGCGTGTTTCTGGATCCATGGCTTTGTATCCAAGGAGTTCTTGGCCGGCGGGGAGGCCATCTTTACTCTGAATGACTTTTACTGGTGGTTGGCATTCAGGGCCCTCATCGCTGTCTTTAACTTTAACAGTGACAGTTGTCGTGCACATAGAAGGAGGTTGTGAGTTTGGTGCTTTGGAGAACTGTGCTTCATTAACTACACCAATTTGCAAAGTAACTTGGCGAATGGCTTCATAGTTCAATGGCTGTTAAATAAGCATACTTTAATTAGTCAATATATAACACTATAGATAGAAGACTTACAATCATGATTCCAACTTTTCACACAAAAAGGAATATCATTTTTTGTACACAATGTTACCAAAAGAAGGTGCTAATGTAGTTGAAGACTAATAATTAGCTTCATATCATGACAAACACTGTCAAATGCAAAAATTCTGTTTTTAAATTGTACTAATTTTTCTTCACACTTTTTTGAGGGAAGGTCCTGCCTTCATTTTTCTTTTCATTTTTTTTTTTCATTTTAAGTTTAAATATTAATAGGAATACAGAGTAAATGTTTGACTAAATTCAAATAGATTACCATTTATTTCATTACTTATCAGATGGCATAACAGTGATAACCAAAACAGCAAAAGTCCCTCCAAGCTAAGTATATAAAATAGATAGACTGCTAGCATATGAGATTTGGCTATAATGGTGCAGTTATCTGAGTACATGAGTTAAAAGACATAATTATATTATTTAGCAGCAACTTTCAAAGCACATTATATTTGGTTTGCTTAGTTCCTAAACAAAATGCTTGGTCCTGAACTGAATCATTAGAAAGAATCCAAAACAATAGTCAAATAATTAGAGACTGAAATCTATCAAGATAACAGAAAAAGAAAACAACAGATAGAAATCTAGAAGTTCTCCTCCACCCTCCAAAAAAAGACAAGGAATAGGCGATATAATCATTAAAGGACCTTTTCTAAAAATCTTATGAGGGAATCACAATTTGTACATAAAGCTTCTAACACAATAGAGTCTCTAAGAAATTAATGAGGGAAGTATGTACCAGGTTAGTGAGGGCTATAGGCAGAAGGACTTAGAATAGAACCAGGTTTGGTTTGAGTAATTATTGTAGATGCCAGTAATTATAATTAAATCTTTAAAATCCTAAAGCACTGGCTATCACAAATATAGGGGATTAATGGGAATAGCTGCTTTATATTCAGTAAACTGTCTTATGAAACGCACTACAGAGAGCCAAAAAAATAATATGAGCATGAAGGGGATTGAAAAGTCAAGAGGTTTGATTTCAAAGAGTAATTCTCCCATTCTCTCTGTCTATTGTTCTATAAAATGAGGGTTTGGACAAATAGGTGTCAAAGAATGCTTCTAAAGCTCGTATCTGATTACTAAGGCAATATCTCGCTGCCTTGGCTCGCTCATCTGTGGAACAGTGAGTTCTGAGCCCGCCATGCCTTTCCTCTGAGAGAGAAAATGAGGGTGAAATAATAATAATAATAATAATAATAATAACAATAATTGTTTAAACCACTGTAATCATTTCAGCATTGCATTGTCATTCTCTAGTCATGTGCACACAGAAATGTATACACATATATATATATATATATATATATATATATATATGCATGCCTATACATCAATTAAGTTAGAATTGTATATATCTATTGATAGATACCGATTAAAGTATTGCTAGATTATTATTTTTTGTTTGTTTACCTTGACAACACACAAGACCCCTTCATTTGTATTTGGGTCTGTGCTGATTTTGAAGTTTCCGTTCTCATTTCCCTGTAGGATTGTGTACACAGCCTTTGAGTGAGCAGTATTTGGCAGATCCAGGTCATGAACCTTCATTCGTAAAATCTCAACGTCAATTCTGTTTTCTTCTACTTCTGCAAAATACTAAACAAGTTGCCTGCTGTTATTATAAATGTATTGCTTTAACAATATGATTTTCTCCTCTAAAACTTATATTTAAAGTAAAAGAAAGCAAAGTAATATGGAAATGTGCAATCACATATTGGGAAGAATATAGTTTACTTCTTTCTCACTATTTTTTCAAATCTTATTTACCTTTGAAAGACTAACTTATACCTTAACTTTCCTACTTCTCTGAGGCAATTTTCCTACTCATATTTGTCTCTATTCTGAATCTATAACATTTACAGTGTATCACCCCCTTTCAGATATAGCAAGCACTTAATAAATGCTTTATAGTTATATATTTAGCCTTCAATATTTATAGATTATTATAACCTACATTGATTTCTTATTTTTACTAGGTGATCTGTTTATTATGCCAATTATTTAAAAATTTACTTTTGATTCACTGGCAAACACTTTAAGAAAATAGTTTTTCTTTTTTTTTTAGAAATTAAATCAGAGTTTCTTCCCACCTCCAAAAAAAAAGTAAGGTTATGGAAGCATCTGAGACTAAAATAGCAGTAAATCAGAATCGTCTAGAGATGTAGGTGAACTCAGAGAAGGAGGTCAGCCCAGAGCTTTAGAACAAAACAGATCTTGAGTCTAACGCCAGTTTTCCTCTTGCAGGCGTAAGTAATTTGTGTTTTTGCCTCCCTGAGAAAACTTATGTAAAGTTATTCAAAAATTAATAGCAAAAATTTAATTAATGTCATTTACTTTTATAACCAAGGACAAGTTGGAAAAAAAATAAACCTTATTTCAGATTGATTTAAATTGGCTAGTTAAAATAAATGAATATTCATAAAAACTTTGTTGTACTGGGCAGGAAACTGTTCCTGAAGCATTAGCTAATTTTTTACAAATGGTTTATCTCATAGTTCAAAAACTGCTTAACATGCAATGAATCCAAAGTAGTCATATTTCTGTGCATAAAATTAAAATAAAAAATTATCAAGACTACATTGCAAAATTTCCAAAAGCCTCTTAATATTATTTAAATTAAAAAGGAAGGGGGATAGTGGAATAATCCCCTGTGAGTAAATTACATCAAGAAAACTTTTTACTTTTAAAATTAATTTTCACTTGTAATGCTGAAGACAAGACAGCCATGAAAACACACATGGTGTCAAAATAAGCCAAAGGAAAATGGTTTGGGTACAATGAAAAGAAAGGATCCCAAGTCTAATTTATGATAAAGATTTCCTTATTAATCTTTGGTCGAGAATATGTTTGTATATTTCCAGAAAATCTCTCCAAGCCCTTGTGGATTCCTGCAACTATGAATCTGAGAGAGGAACTGACAACACATGAAGACAAAAGGAGAGACAGTCCAGAGATGGAGATGGTGAAGACGCCTTGCCATACTAGCAGTCAGCAGCTGTGCGTCGCTGCAGGTTGCCCAGGACCAAACCAGAGAAGGTCGGACCTGCATTGCCATCATTTGCCCACCATCCAGAACTAGCATATCATTGCTGGCATGGACACATGAACTGTTGGGCATTGAAATTGGGACTCAAAGAACTGTTGGCTCAGAAAGAAACTTACTACAGACTGATTCATTTGCCTCTCAGCATAACCACTATTGCTTGTCTCATTTTTGTTCTCATATGCTTATTTCTAGTCTGCAGATGCGGAATAAAGAGTCTTAAAAGGACTCGAACCCTTCAGGCAGCAGTCACCTTTCAAGAATTATTAAGGAAAAGTGATGGGGGAGATGCAGGAGGCCGCCCATTGTCTTCACTAGCAGAGAAGTGCAAACAAGGATCCCTGAAGGCTGGTGACCCTTGAACCCACGGCAAGGCCTGAGTTATGCACCAATTGTCTAGTCCTGACAATGGGGGCTCAAGCTATTTCCTGACCAAATAGCCTCAGAGTAAATCCTTCTAATATTTACTGACCTTTATGATAGCCTGTCTATTACTGCAATTACCTGCCTGACTAAGGGTTTTATGTTTAACCAAAGTTGAATAAAAGGTTGGCGAGGCCTGCGCACCAGCAGAAGTCCTTCCCCTTGAGTTGGAATGCCCGCCTGGCGCCCCAATATTTCCAAATTATCTCTTGTCTCTTCTCTTTCATTTGTGTGTGGCCCCTCTTCCAGATCCTGAACCCTGAACCACGCGGGACGTGGAGGAACACACATACGACATCCTCTCACTTGGTTTATATGAATGAGATCAGAAGCAAGTCACTTAACTGGCCTTCCATTCTCTCATAAGAAATGTGGAATAAGTCCTATCCTTACAAGTTACAGCAATTAATGTAAGAAAATTGTATGGATGGCTCATCACTGCGGGCATTCCCTTCTTTGATTTGTACTCTGATATTCATTAATGAAAAAATGAAGATCACTTTCTAAAAGGACCAGAAAGAAGAAGTATTTCCTGGCATGTTCCTCCTATCTATGCTTCCTGTTTTGTGTAGTCCTGAGGGGAAAGTTCGCTCCATACTTGACGTGTAAGGGGCCTGCCCAGAGACTACTGACTCCCCAGCAGAGCAAAGGGAGTGCAGTGAGTCTTTCTTTATCCCTAAGATGTTGAAATATAAGTGACACAGAGAGAGGAACTGACAACACATGAAGACAAGAAGAGAGACAGTCCAGAGATGGAGATGGTGAAGACGTCTTCACCATCCTATGAGAGGTATTTAAATCCAAAGGAATCTGATGCCACAGCACGGCATCCAAGAAAACACTACATACATGAATGGCTTCAGGGGCCAAGCAGCTTTCATGTGGCCAAGGAAATAGTCATTTCCCTCCATCCAGAAAAACTGGCACTTCAGTGATTTTTAAAGAAATCCTATTATGTCTGCGTATTTATTTTTAAGTGGTAGCTATTAAAACCAAAATGTGTACTCTCACAGAGCTACCACATTCTAGATTTGTTTTTTGAAGAGGTGAATGAACTTAGATAAGTGAATACAGGGATATACTCACAGAATTTTCTGTAAAATATGGTGAATTATCGTTTTCATCTTCGAGTGAAATAGTGATTGTTCCTGTATTAAACAAACCAAAATGTTGGCCTCCCATGTCTCGAACCTCCATTATTAATTGGTATGTATCACATTTCTGAAAAAAGGGAAAAGGAACATTGATGAACATCCCCTCCCCCTAAAAATATGAGCAAAACTAAAAATAGAGCGAGAGATTGGCCAGTCAGAACAATGGGAGGCTGATAACCTTTCAAAACTTAGAAGCCATTTTTTTTCTATGTCAGCATCCAGTCAAGCCAGTAACCTCAGGTGAGACCCCATCTCACACCCTGTCCCTCCCCAAATCCTCTGCACAGACGGAGGAAGCGAGCAGAGGAGCCCTACCCACAGCCTGTCGGGAGGCATGCTTGGAGAGCGGCCCCGGGGCCTATGTAATTCCTCCAGGGGGACATTATCAGCTCGAATATAGGCTAGTGACTGGGAAAGTAATCAACTCATTACTTCTCTGTCCAGTAAGAGTGAAGTTGTGGTGATGACGCCCGTGTCTGGGTGGATGGAGAAATGCTTGGGGTGGTCCGGGATTTGCTGTAAGATTTTATATTTCAGACGAGTGTGTAGGGTGTCAGGTTCGTCGAGGTCGATGGCAGTCACTTTCCCCACAGAAGTTCCTGTTTAAAGAAGTCCGATATTGTCAATAACTTAAAATAGCAGCATTACAAACAACAGTAAAAGCAAGGCATTGCTATAGCATGTTCTCCCCAAAACCACAAGTATATCTTTTATCGGTAAGTGGAAGAGTGTAAATGCTCTCCAAAACTCTGAGCTTTTCTGCCCTGACCGGTTTGGCTCAGTGGATAGAGCATTGGCCTGCGGACTGAAGGGTCCCGGGTTTGATTCCGGTCAAGGGCATGTACCTTGGTTGCGGGCACATCCCCAGTAGGGGGTGTGCAGGAAGCAGCTGATCGATGTTTCTCTCTCATCGACGTTTCTAACTCTCTATCCTTCTCCCTTCCTCTCTGTAAAAATTCAATAAAATATATATATTTTTTAAAAAACAACAACTCTGAGCTTCCCTGATTTTGAACATTGAGCTAAGTGATTGCAATGAATAACATGATTTGTGGGCTAGATCTAGGAGAACATTCACCCCACCCTTGGTAACAGTGGTTCTCCAACCCACGCCCCCAGTTCACAGGCCACTTTTGGATGGCACCATCTCTGTATATCTTGTTTCCTTTATAGTTCAACCTGATGATGTTAATTAGAGGAATAGTACAGCTTTGCATATGATAAAGATGTTATGCTTTTATATTTTAATAAATATGCTGAATTATTAATATATGCAAGTAATTATTAATAAATGTTAGACACAGACATCTTGCCTTGGGCTGAGCTTTATGGCCCAGAAACCAGTGTACTGAATATGGCTTTAACAAACCACTTATTTTAGGAGAATAATATTAAATATACACATGTAATGGCAACAGACTAGAGAAGCTAAGAACAACATTTCTTGCAGGTTTTTTAAAAACTAGGCAGTCTTGTCAGGCCCCTGGGTGTACCCAGATCACAATTTGGGCAGCCTAGAGCACCAAACAAGTTTAGGTTATTCTTTTCATTTTGTCTGAAAAATATGCCCAGTAAAGCAATGTATATTGTTATAAGTCAGATTCGCCGTTCCATGCCATAATATATTTCTAGGCCCTTAAAAATGTAGCGAGACTTTATAAATATTCAAATGATTCTGCTTTATAAATACACCTGTGACAGATATGTACAAGGTCAAATTAGAAAATATAAACAGCATTTGTCACACATTCATATTCATTGTGGATTAATCTAACAAAGTTAGTGACTTTATGCATTAGCTGCCTCCTATATGTGCATAGCAAAATGAGCACCAACAGGTTTGCATTGGAAGAGGATATGATCTCATCAGACTACAAAGTTTTATGTGGAATATCCTTGAAAGGCAAGCATTGAAACATGTTTAGCATAAACTGCTTAAAACAGTAATGAGCAACTCACTTGGAGCAAAAAATCTAGTGTTCTCCTAAACTGTGAACTTACCAGTTCTGCAATTTTCCGGCACAGTGAAGATAGTCACTTTGTTTTCAAAATACGGGGCATTATCGTTATCATCTTCAACCTTGAACAGTAAGGGGAGTGGGTACTCTGGCGCGTACCCATCGGCGGTGGTGGCATAGGCATACAGCTGGAAGGCAGACAGACACCAACAGCTCACTCTTACATAACACATATGCACAGAATTAAGCCTGGCCGCTGGGGAAAGACAACATGTCTAGAAGGTGTATGTAACTAAGAACTTAGGCCACGGAGAGACAGCACACCAGCACGGTCTAGGCTGGCCGTATGGCTTCAATCTTCCCTCAACACTCATTCTTCTCCCAGTGCCATGCACGCCAGCTGAGTGAGGCGGTCCATTCCCTGAGCTAACTGCATGCTGTTCTTCTCATTAGAATGCATGTAGACTTCCCCCAGTTATGCTAATAACAAGTTTTTTTTTAAGTTTATAAAAAAATAATTCTATTTACTTGCAGTTGATGTATCAACTATCTCTGGGTGACTCAATTATTTTTTTTCTCTATTTACTTGAATTTTCTCATTTTTTCTACAAAAAACATGCATTTCTTATGTAATAAAAATGCCAATAAACACATACACAACTCAAAATGATATATCTTGGCAGAAAATGCCAGCATTTAATGTCCTTTCCCTTTAAACACCATCAAATTATTTCTGTACTTTTATGTGGTTTGTGCATGGTTAAGTGGTCAATGAATGGTTCTTGAGTTCAACAGGTTTTCTTCACTGACAGAGCCAACTAAACCTGCCCAAAATGAAATCTATGTTAACTCAGTCCTTCTCCATGCAACTAGCTCTCCCTGATTTCCCTACTGTAACCATCTTCTAAAATGAACCAGAATTAAAATTCCAGGAACGTAACTCCTCCCTTTCTTTCATTAGCCTTTTTAGTCAGTTGCCAAGTTCTAGCATTTATGGCATTTCTGTGTCTCTATCATCTATCTTCTCTGTGACTGGGCCCCATCTCAGAACGATTAAATCAGAATTTCTGGGGATAGACCAGAGAAGCATAATTTTTTTAAGTTCTCATGTCATTTATAAAGTACAGGCAGGGTTGAGAATAATTCAACTATGTTATTGTAGGGAACTTTGAACTCAATAAAATTAACTGCTGTTGTCCTCGGATTCCCTAGATCGAAACCTGTCCTTTAAAATTCTGTCATATTTTCTATAGTTCTCCCCCCACTTTTCTGTCCTTTTCTACCCAGTATGTCCCATGATTTTTAAATTCTTATTCATATTCTGAATGTACAAAGCCATAAACTCTATAGGGAAGAATACATATCTACTGTCTTTCTTCATCAATGGCATCAATAGAAACTTGAAGTTTATATTACACATTATCTATATAAAACATGAAATCAAATTATTGATTCTTCCAATACATAAACAATGCTGAAAATATTAAAGCCGTCATAAACAACATAATTCTTAAGGACACATATGTAATAACTTAATCAATAAAAAGTTAAAACAAAACAAAACAAAATAATTATGAAAAAAATATATAAATAACAACCTCAAAAAAAAAAAAGTAATCTAATAATCTTACCGGGAACTCTTGATATTGTTCACGATCTATGCTTCGTGTACAAAAGATATCCCCAGTGTCTTTATTTATGAAGAACAAATTGAAGGGCTCTTTGTCCACTCCTGGGCCACTTATTGAGTAAAAGATGGTGTAGTTCTGTGCGGCATCAGATTGGACCTACAGCAACGAGTGACAATTTAGGATAAAAAATATCTTCAACCTAAAATCTTGCCATGGTTGATTTTTTTATCACCTGCTTTCTTTCCTACTAATCTATTCTTTCTTTCCTCCGTTTATCTACCCAGTGTGCCCCACATTTTTAAAATTCTTGTTCATATTCTGAATGTACAAAGCCACAAACTCTATCACTAACTTTATCCCAAATTCTTTTGTGTTATCTGCATACTTAAGGAAAATTCATCGAGTTAAATATACTTTTATAATTCTTATCCACTTGTCCCTATTCCTATATAAATGACAGTAATAGTTTTGGTAATTTTGAAAAACTTTGTGATTAAATAAAGGAAAAATACTACAAGTTTCTTCCCACAATTAATTCTTCAATAGTTTCAAAGCTGGCCTATGTTTACACACCAGCTATGTGGCAGTGACGCTACCTTTGTGGTAAACAGAAATATTGGACTCTTTTTTGGTAAGCTTACATGAGAAATGGAAAGTTAAATTATGCAAAATGGGTAAGCATGCCCTCTGCATGTGAGTGCTAGGATGGTAGGGTATTTAGGAAAATCTGGGTACAGGCCTAAGAGCCCCAGAATCTCAAAATACGAAATGTTCTAAGTGCTAACTACAGTTTCTGGAGGAAAGCAACAAATTACACTGACTCACTTCCACAGGCCCTTATTCTGGTAAATAGATGATCCTTATTAGTACCAATAAGTTCAAGCCCTGCTTCAGATACTGCGCAATTCAAACGGGAAGTGTAAAAGCAAACAAAACCCTCCGTGTCAAATCAAACAATATGCAAGGTACCTGCTGGACGTGCTGTGGGAATGGGCCTAACGAGTTCTCCATCAGGGAGCATGGAATCGGGGCCCAGCGCCTCTTGCTGCGCTTGAGGGCTGCGTTTTTGGTGTGTCTCTTTCTCAGAACCTGCGTTTGGTGAGAGAGAGAGAAATGTAGCACCGCTTGTCATTCTGGGAACTGTGATTCTAACATTTATATCAGCAGGAAAATAGTAAGGGTGGTCATAACACTATCATGGATAACCAACTCCCAAACTATTTCTGTTTTTTATTATTTTACTAGAGGCCTGTTGCATGAAAAGATTTGTGCAATAGGCCTTCCCTTCCCCTGGCTGCCGGCACCAGTTTTCCTTTGGTACCGGGTACCCAGGCCTTCGCTCCAGCCAGAGCCGCCTTCAAGCCTTTGCTGCTCTGGCCAGAGCTGCCTTCAGTCTTCACTCCGCCGCTTCACGCCTATGTATGCAAATTAACCGGCATCTTTCTTGGCAGTTAATTTGCATATCTCACTGATTAGCCAATGGGAGGCATAGCAAAGGTATGGTCAATTACTGTTTGTCTATTATTAGATAGGATTGATAAGACACACACACACACACACAAGTAAGAACCAGTTTCACCAAATTCCTGATTTAATCAGTTAAGTAACCAGAACTTTATAAGGCATTGGTAAAAGAGGTCATCTTGAGAAGTATAGACTCCCTAAAAATAGCTAATTTATTAACAAATATTTAAGAATTGATTTTATTCCACTAGAAATGGTACAACCAATGTTTTTAAAAATTCTAGCTGCATTTTATATCATTTGTATACCTATATCAAGATATAGGTCAGCATTCATACAAGTATGTTTTATTTTACATGATATGGAGATTCCTTACAATTTTGACATAAAGCAATGTTTTAAAAACTTTGAGCATGTTCTAAATTTGATGAAGAGGAGTTCTTGTGATCAAAAGTAATGTAGATGGAAAAGTCTCATATTGAAGCACTTATTAATAACTGATTTTATAAGACCAAATTCATGTGTAGAGTTGGCTTAAAGTGAGATTTGTGTGAATACCAGTAACCTTCTCCTTTCTTTCGCCTAGATCATCTCCAATCACTGTAAGAAAGTGAGTCTAGAGTCAGAACATTCAAACCAACCCTGTGGACTGGCCATGATGCCATTTCTTGAAGAGAAGGAGCCCAGGGGGTTTTGGTTAAGTTGGAAGTAAGCTTGAGACAATCTCTTCTCCTCTTTAAAGAGACTCACCCTCGCAGTCAGTAGGGAGAGAGCCATTCAGGGTGGAGCGCCACACCTGCAGCCTGAATCAGTTTCTCTGTTTCAGACCCACCCCTGTCTCGTTCTACAGGTTGGTTGTTCTTACTGCCACACCTCAGGGCACTGTCTGGAACCTTTGATATTCTGACTTTGCTCCCTGGCTACAGAGATGTTCGTTTTTTATACCATTTTGCAAATAGCTCTACCACTCCTTAAACTAGTCTAGTATTTGCACATGTTAATTACCAGTGGAACAGATAAATACGTGAGCGTTCAAAACAATGATTTTAACAGGCAAGGAAGTCACATAAGCAGATCAATATGGTCAAACCTTTGCCTAATATACCTTCTTTCCTCTCGCTTCCAGCACAATTTCCATCTCTCTCTGCTCCTGCTGCTGACTGTCTGACAGGAAAATGGAAAAACTCTTCCCTGGAGGAGACAAGACGAGGTCGTGTGTTGTGTACACTGAGCCATCTTCCAGAACTCTGAAGTCGGGATCACTTGACCGGATTAGGCTGGCCGACCGGAGACACTCCTTCACACTCACTGCAGGGACGAAATATCACAGTCATTTGTAAGATGAACCAGCAATAGAACGAGTTCTACAGGAATAGCAACTGCAAGTTAGTGCATGAGAAGCAGAAAGTTACACTTGGAATTTGTTGAGTGCCGGCTGTTCTGAGGCTGAGAGGCCATGAACAGTAAATAATTAAATTAATGAAGTCACAGTTTCCACTGCTTTAATCATAAGTTAATTTATGAACAGACAGAAAACATTTTATTAGTGTCACCAGATTTATTGTTTCCACTTTACATTTTATTCATGGACCTGTGCACACATATAAAATTTGTTGGTTTATATTGTATTAGTAAACTATGACATCAGTAGATTTTGATCATGTTTGCAGTAATCTTTGATAGTTAAATCTTGCTCACACAAAAGTACACAGAACTGGTCTGTACTTATATAATACTTTTCAGTAATATTGCAAATAATCATTTCATAATGTCTTTTGAAGGTTTGATAAATGCAATACTTTGAATGTATTGTGCTTGTCATCAAAATATTTCTTTTACAGATTTATGTTTAATACATTTAGCATATTTATTGTGTGTCTTTAGAGTACAGACTGCATATCATTGAAATGTTCTAAAAAAATAAAGAATTAATTTAAAGCCCTGGTCTAAGCAATCTCTATCTTGCAAAGAGCACCACCTGTGTATTCAAAGTGTATTTTTCTAAGGTAACCTTAAGCCAATGAAAAACCTGATGGGAGGAATGTTATCTTTGGACTCAGAACAACCAACCTATGCTTCCGATGTGGCTGTAATGGTAAGACCAGCTACAATTTTACTTGACTTTCACAAGATATTCTCTGAAACAGATCACATAAATTCTTGCGGGGTTTTGGTTCATTGTAATCAACCTCAAGCACAACTTTGCTTCTGCGGCCTTTCAGTTTTGAGACCTCTGTTTTACACATTATCAGTGAAAAAATCTTGGCTTTGGAATTTGGGCAGCAGGTTAGTCAACATGAACTAAAATATGCTTCTGGTTTTGGTGTCTTGCTTTGTTTGAACTAAAGGAAGATAATTTAGCCCTCTGATGTTCACTAATTTTTCTGGCATGAAAAGTATACAACCAACTTGGCACCTTAGTTGTTTCTAACCACTTTCAAAAAACAACTAGACCATCTTTCATTTATGTCAAATTTTAATGCCAAGCATCTACTGTATGGCTTTTATCCCAAACTTGACAAGAGCAGCCTGAAGCTACCTGTACAGTCAAAACTGGAATTCGTAATGCTGTTTCTCACCTTTGCCTACAAGTGTTTCAGCCTGAAGATGAGAAGGAACTTGAAGAGAAATTTTCTGACAAGCATCGCAAAACAATATTAAAACCTCAAAAGAAAGAAAAATCAGGAATTACATTTCATTATAAATTTTCACATTACAGTTTTGTCTTACTGGCAAAAATATTGTCAATTTCAGCAACAAAGAAATGTTCTAATCCTTCATTTTTTTCATCTTTATTTTTAAAAGGAAATAGCAAAGAAAGTGGCTTGAGGGGCACCACAGTCATTTAGTATTGATGAAATAATTAAAGTGAACAGTAGTTCTTGGCACCTAAATCACATTAAAAATTTTAAGAAAATGTGTTACCAACCATTGATTTTATATAGAAGTTACCATCTTTAAGGTCATTCATAAGTGTCATTCTGATTTTTTAGCATAAAGCAAGTACTTAATCCTGGAATATAATAATGACATTGTTATACACAAACCATCATTTTCACAGACACCCCCCCCCCCCAATTTGAGGTTATAGTTGATTAGGTCTAGAAAATATCTGAAAATTATTTAACCTCTTAAAGAACAATACCCAAAATATTCGCTGATATAAAATCATCCCTTGGATTGGCTTGGCACAAACATCAAAGTCTAAATTATACATACATATATAAATATATATGGCATAGCCTTCAACGGGGTAAATATTTCTAATTAAATTTAAGACACAACTATTGTCTTAAAAAGCTATCAATTCAAGGAAAGTAGGTTTATTTGCACCAGCATCAGTACAGAAATGTGAGTAATATGCTGTCCGCAATGTTAGGGCAGCTACAATGTCACAGGTAATAGGAATTTTTCAGTTCCATTAAGATCTTATGGGACCACTGTTATATATGTGCAATTACAAAATATTTGTCTTCAGTTTTAATTTAAATAACCACTTTTTAGAACATGAGATGTTTTAATTTATTTGACATTTTAATATTTTTATTCCTAATGCCAAGGAATGAACTAAATTATATCTAAAGACCTTTCTGAGCATAAAGAATTCTATTATTAATCATCTAAATATATAATGTGGAAAAGTGCATTTTGTGATTAGAAATATGTATCCATATACAAATAGATACATACACATACATACATATGCATACACACACATATTTACACATTATTTTCACAGGATATACCCATATTCCCCTTCCTACACCCATCTTCCCTCCTTCCTGCCCAGGACCCCCGATTGTTGGTTCTGCCCTTGCCAGCAGAGCTAGTGGAAGTCTCCAGAACTCCCATTCCAAGTCCTCAGGCTAAGTTAGCAGCTTAGCAATTTAGAGGGAGGTGGTGTGAGACACCCTTTTGGTCATCATGAGGATAAGGGATGAACCAGAGGATGCTGGACAGAACAGAGACGAAAAGCAAAAGAAACCTGGGTGAACCCTTGGACCTAACTAGTGCCAACTCAAGTAGGTCTCCGAGTTTCATTACCCTCCAGGCAGTTACAGCATGAGTACAAAAAACCATCAATCCCACATCATGTATTATTAATATGGAGAAAATATTTATCTCCATTCAATAAAATATTTACATTCTGAGAATATAACTTGAAGTTCAAATATTTTGCCGAAATGAAAAGAGTTTCAAGAAAATTCAGTGCTCAGAAATGCCAGATATGTGGGATAACTCACCTCTACTCTCTCCCACCAAAATCAAAATTGGCACCTGCGTACATAGTTATAACGTTATTAAAAACCTAAGTGGGCCCTGGCCAGTGTGGCTCAATTGTTTGAGCATCATCCCATGTGCCAAAAGGTTGCCGGTTTGATTCGTGGTCAGGGCATGTGCCTAGGTTGCAGGCTTGATATCCCCAGTAGGGGGCGTGCAGGAGGCAGCAGGTGGATATTTCTCTCTCATTGATTCTCTCTCATCAATGTTTCTCTCTCTCCCACCCTCCCTCTCTCTCTAAAATCAATAAAAACATTAACACACACACACACACACACACACACACACACACACACACACACACAAAGGGGAGGTCAAGTTAATGTTATTTTTTCAATGACTATTACATTATTCTTATTTTTTCTCAAGTAAAACCCTTTGCTTTAAGAGCTCCACCCTTCTCTTAACTCTTCCCGAGTTCAGAAAGTCTTGAAAAATTCCCATCTTTACCCAGAATCCTTTTCACCTTCTCCCTGCTTAACAGAACCAAGCATGTTAAATAACTGCGGCTTATTTAATGACGAGTAGCAAAAGCAAACCTCAGAACCTCTGGGCCAAATGCCTGAGGAGTGAATCCGTCCCACTGCTCCTCAGGGAACCACCAGAGCAAGACCGAACAGGGGATTCCCTCAGACACCAACAGCCTGGCCTGGGCTCTTGGAGAGTCAGCGAAACACCTGCCTTCCCGGGTCCCAAGTCTTCCCACTCTTCCTTGGGTTTTTCTCAGATCTGCTTTGTTTTGTCCCCCCCCCCCCCCCCCCAGTTTATCTCTGCCTTCCACCATGTCCCCTTCTCTTTCAGGCCCAGCAGGAAGAGGGAGGATGGAGGAGGGAGCTAGCGCAGGGTAGCCTGCCTGAATCCCTTAATCCCTGGCTCTTACTCACCAGGAGAGAGAAAAGGAGCTGCCTGCAGAAGAGGCCCCCCGGGGCAGCGGAGGCCGCAGCCATCAGAGCGGTCCCAGTGGCAGGGACGTGGCCGGGTGACAGGGCAGCTGGGGATGCACCAGGCGCCGAGCAGATTCCCAGAGGCTGGCACTGAGCAGGGTACTCTGCTGCTCCCCTGGCCCCGAGCAGCTCGATTTGGAGGAGAGTCAAGAGTCCCGCTGAGTGACAAGAGGAGGAGCAGCTGAGAACTGCTTCCCTCCGCTGCCTGGGTCAGCCTTTCTCCATCCAATTCAATTCCCTCGGAATGTGAGAGGTTTGCCTACCAGTGGGGCGGGTGGGGTGCAATACAACCCCAAACCCAGTCACTGGCTCCTCCTCACTGCAGCTTTCAAAACTTCCCCCGCCACTTGACACATCAGCAGAAGCAGGAGGGAACTCCCTGGCCCTCCTCCCCTTCCCCCCAGGTGGATGCTCTGAAGTCCTCCCCAGTCATTACCCACTCCCACGGCCTCCCCTCCCCCTTGGCCTTATTAACCTATCTTGCCCCGGGGTGCAGTTGTGCACAACTCCACGCAAGGAAGTGACACCTACTCAGCTGCCATTGACAAATCAGGGGACACAGGCACATGCAATCGCATCATCAGAAGCTATCTCCCCATCTGAGCATCTGGGTGGAGGCTGGCTCACTCAGCGCTGCAGCTCTGAGAGCGGGCACTCCTCAGGAGCTCACACAGGCATCTTGTCTACTCCCTGTGCTGTCTGCCCTCGGGGGCTTGGTCCTCCAGATGCCCCAAGGAATTTAGCAGAATGTATATAATCCTCAGAAAAGTAAGAGAGTAACGAAATGGCCGAGATATGATTTTCTTGTTGCATACTTTTTATTGTGCATGAAGCAATATTTTTTTCTTGAGTATCTTTATTCAAAAGCAACAACTGTCTGAGACCAACTGTCTTTAAAATCACTCCATTCATCCTAATTACTTGTACATTGCATGCAGGATATCCTAGCATAAAAGTATGAAATGTCATCACGTTTATTCTTTTAAGCACGAATGATCCTTGCAATGAAGACTTTAGCACCAGTTCTTCTGCCACAACTTAGTGAGTTCAATATCAATTGCACAGGACACCCGTGATGGCATCTGGGGAAGGAGGGGAAATATTTTCAAGTGGTAACTGCTTAATTCGGGGAAGAGGTAGGGAAGTAAAAGTAACCATGACGGGCATTTCAGTGAGTCCTCCCGAGTACTCCAGTGAGGACTCCTTCTAAAGGATGAGACCGTGAGAAAGTAAGCAAGCACCCTCGGCCCATGACCCCACAGACGATGGGAAGTACACGTCTGAACCGGGTCTCACTGCCACCGAGGTGCAGTCGCTTTGAAAAGGAGCAGAAAGTATTGATCGGGTTCATGAGCAATCTGTCTGGCTGGACAAGAAGCCAGTGTGAGACTAATAAACGGTATTCAGGAACACTTAAAATCCACTCCTATTCCTGACAGCCCATCGTTCCAGAATCCGCCCACCGGGGCTCTTGCGTGAGAGTGATCCTACAGGGAAGTAAAACGGCTGGTAAACTACTGACTTTGTAAGTTTTTATACCAGAAATGACTCTTGCTGCTCCTGCTACTCACATTTCCTTCCATCTCATGCTTAACTGAGGAGTAAAGGGCCAGCCCAATCCCCAGGCGCAGAGGAAAGGAGGGAACGCTTTCTTTTGCTGATTTGACACGAAGGACAATCTGTCTTGTATGAGAGGTGAACATAATAACATTACTGCTTCTTTGCAGTTATGGGCAAAGAGAGATTTGGGAAATAAAAACTCTGGAACAAGAACTAAATTTAGCCCTGGCTGATTTGGCTCAGTGGATGGAGCATCGGCCGGGGGACTGAAGGGTCCCAGGTTCGATTCTGGTCAAGGGCGTGTGCCTTGGTTGCTGGCATATCCCCAGTGGGTGTGCAGGAGGCAGCTGATGGATGTTTCTCTCATCGATGTTTCTAACTCTCTATCCCTCTTCCTTCCATTCTGTAAAAAAGCAATAAAATATATATTTTTTAAAAAGAACTAAAAGATATCTTTGTAGTATTTTATTGCCAAAGATATAGCCACCAATAAGTATATTTTATGCCTGCATTGAAATTTGATTTCTCAATAAGAAAACAAAAACACTTTAATTGACTATTTTTATATCCAATATTTTTGGGAAAAGGATGGAAATATAGAAATAAGAATAATTACCTAAGTGGGTGCATGTAGACCCAAGTGTAACTCTGTGTGTGCATGTTTAAGCATTTAATTATCTAAGTGTATATCTAAATGTATATGTCTGTAGCTTAAAGATTCAAGGTCTCCAGTCCTGGAAAGTGGAAATACATTTTCCTCCTAATGAAGTCCTTGTTACATCTTCCTATATTATGGAAATGGCAAAGAATGCATTACAAAAATTAGACTGGCGATACTGAAAAGTTAGCATGCATTGCCTTTTGGAGAGATGTGTGGATTGCTAAGTTCAAGTGAGTCCAGTATAGTCTCCACGGTTCTGCAAAATTGGTTATTTTGATCCTACTTCTTTTAGGCTGCATTACGTTTCTTCTCCCATTATCTACCTCAAAAGTAATTTAAAAAAAAAACTTGTACTTACTATAAAGATGAAAAAGAAAAGGTAAAAATGAAAAGGAAAGAAAAAAAAGAATCTTGATAACAACAACAAATTTGTACAAAAGCTGATTCCAAGTCATTGGTTTGGTCACATCAAAAATATTTCTCCCAGATTTTCTACTTATACACAAAGATTTCCTTATCTAACTACTTTATAAGAAAACTGTAATAAAATTGATTACCTTAAAATCAAGTTAAATAAAAACAAGATTGATCTCTTCCAATTTCCTGCCATCAGGCTCTCAGAGAGAGCCCTATGTTATTTTTGTGTGTCTGCTTGCTGTATTTGTTTGTTCTAATCCATGTCGAACAACATAACTGAATAACTGATCATGCAGGGCAGTGGCTAAGAGCTTAGATTCTGCAGCTAGACTCCCTGTGCTCAGCAATCAGCTAATTACTTACTAGCAATACACCAGTACAGCAGTTCCTTGACCCCTCATGCCTCGGTCTCTTCATCTATAAAGTGGGAGTAATACTAGCTGTTAATTCCTAGCTTATTATGAGGATAAATGTGACACTACATAGAAAGCACTTTGGACAGTGTCTGGCTCATAACAAGCACTAATTTTTATAGCATGTAATTGCCTACATGCGCAATAAAAAGTTAAAGAGACTGGACTTAAAATGAAGCAAAATTATTGCAAACCCAAGGTCTCTTGGGTAATAGCTATCCAAAGATATGCAAGCAGATTTATTCATTGAACAAATATTTAAGGTCCTGCTAGGCAATGAGTACCATATACAGAATAAAGAAGACAGAAATCATATTATTTTTTTAAAAGGCACACGTTGTAAAGAAGAACACAAATGTAGTTCTCCTTCCAGTTCAACGTGTGGGGTAAAAGAGGCACTGTAGCAAATATTAAGTATCTCAGCATTTTTTAGAGAGAAATTAAGAATAGACGATGATCACATTCATAGTGCAGGGCCTCCTATAGAAGAGAATTTATTTTAAATACGTAAATGTTGCACGATATCTTTCCCACCACAGATTTATGGTTGTACAGAGAAAGATTTAAATCTAAAAACCCATATGACCTTTACAGTTCCTTAGTTTTTACCTTAAGGCGTGTCAAGAAAATACACTGTCCTATGAAGTTTCAAGTATGTGTCTTATGGAAATACAGCGACAAAGTTTATGTTTATGCACAACCAACTTGCAGAAAGTGCTGGGTATAAATAAATTCCAGGCCTCAAAATAGCTGCTTACTGATAGAATTATTACCTCTGACCAGCGAACCAATTTGTTCTATAAGATGCTGGACTGTAGGAATGCTGGACATTAAGGAAGCCACAACAAGCTCTTTGTGTTAAAGAGACACTACAGGGGTAAACAGGATGTGTGATCTTAATATGGGAGAGTAGAAGTGTTTGAGCAAAGAAATAAGAAGTCTTGGCAACAGAGGGCCTCTTAGTCCTGTGAGTTCAACCTTCTGCAGTGGAAACCCCCTTTTATTCCACTGGACTCATAGACTCTTATCTGGGCAAAAGGTTATTAAAAATTAGAAGTAACACATAGGTACTAATAATTACTGGCAATGATTTATTAAGGCGGTTTGCATAGAATACTGATTAATTTTACATTAAATGACCACTTCCTATTAGCTCTTATCAACCCTGCTGGCAGACCCATGAAAAAAGAAATGTTAGCATACATCTCCATATAATTTAGAGCTCTCTCTATTCAGCACACACACCTAATTCAAACTGGCTTAAGAGAAACAAAATAAAATTGTTAAGGGTAAGGGATTTCTTTAGATCATGTAATTGAGAAGTCCAGGGATATTCTAAGTTCAGGCATAGCTCGAGTCAAGTGATCAAATGACGTCACCAAGGCGTTGTCTTTCTCCATTTCCTAGTTTTGTCTTTCTTTGTGTTGGCTTTGTTATTCTTCAGTTTTCTCAGTGAGGAGGCAAAGATGCCACCAGAAGCTCCAAATCACATCCTCTTGGCTTAGTAAACCCTAGTTGAAGAAGCAGGGTTTGTTTCCAATAGTTTGAGCAAAACACAATCTCACTGGCCATCTCTTGCCATGAGTAGCCTAAAGTCAAGGGGTGAGCCAGATACATGAGCAAAACGTGGTGAAAGAGGTCGTTGCCCAAAGACAGCTGAGGTCTATTAACAGAAAAAAGAGGAATAGTGGCTAGACAGGCAAATCAAAATATGTCCCCCAAACTCACCTTTTGAAAATTTTCATTTAAAACAATACCAGCTAACTATCCATCAATCATTTATTAACGCCTTCTATACTCTAAGCATTACTGCTGACCGAATGCTGAAGAAGACATGATCCCTGGCCTCATGGGGCTTACAATGTACTATACGTTTGAATATGAGTGAAAGTATTTCATATGATGTGGTCGAGCTTAAAATCCTGGTGCAGGGAACATAATGATCACATTTCCTGGCATTTCCTCCAGTTGTTATTTTCTTGGTGGCCTTCAAAGTGAAACGTATGAAGTATTGTTGTTGTTTTTAATGATAGATGAAATCCTACTGTCACTTATTTACCTTACATATTAAACATCATATTACTAAATGTTAATTTTAAATATAAGTATATATATTCAGTACCTAAACTTTGTTAAGATAAAAAAAAAATAGGAGGGAAACTTTGCTCATGACCTAAGGGTAATTTTCCAGTCTAGTTTATGCATGTAGAAATTTTCACATTGTTACACTGTGCTGCATATGCAAATTTATAGCATGTATTTCCCTC